ACATTTTTTTGATACAAAACAGTGTCAAAATCTAGAGAAAATTCATAGTCCCCTGGGTAGCAAACTTGAATTAATCAACTCTTTATTCATCAGAACAACACTATCAGAATGAACCAGGGGAAGCTCATAAGTTTGACAGGCGCACCGGTGCAACTATCGGTAATTGAGAGATTCACAACTGACAAGAGAGTGAGAGCGGCTTTTGCGCTCTCTTTCTCCATTACTCTCTTTGTCTGCAAACAGATATCCAAGTGCACAACGAGAAATGTACACTTTGGGCACCCATACATCAGAAATGTTCTTCTAATTTAAACTCACACATTCAAACCGGTCTGCAAGCGTACCAGACTGCTGTTTCCGTGTTGCTTCCGTTTGACGCGTAACTGCTGAAAGCTTCAATTACAACCAGTGGTGCAAACCGCCATGTATTGTTTAAAATTTGTGGTATGCTTCAAGAGGTGATAGAAGGTCTGCTTGGCTTACATCAGGCATTTGACCATTCACAAACTTGCCACCCGCCACGGTAGTGTTATCGACATGTTTAGAAATCAATGCATTAGGGATTAGGCAGGCCATCCGAACTGAATTTAACCCTTTTTGTAGCAAACCAAGGTCGAAGATTTAATTGAACCACACTATAAAATAGTGTATTCATGGTCACTTGTGGTCTGGAGTAAACAAGTACAGCTATAATGTAACCATTAAAATATATAAAAATCTTATCGCATTTTTAAAATTATTTACACCTGTGTCGTGCACAGGTTGCACATGTGGACGCGACGCCACTGTCAAATACTCAATTTGGTTTCCGTAGGGGCAAGGGAACGAACGACTGTCTCGCGTTGCTTTCCACTGAAATTCAGTTGACTTTTGCTAAAAAAAGATCAAATGGCTTCTGTCTTCTTGGATATTAAGGGGGCTTTTGATTCAGTATCGGTTGAAGTCCTTTCAGACAAACTCCACGCTTGTGGCCTTTCTCCATTAATTAATAACTTTTTGTACAATTTGCTGTCAGAGAAACATATGAGCTTTTCTCATGGAAACTCTACAGCTTCACGATTTAGCCCAGGGCTCATGTTTAAGCCCCCTTCTGTATAATTTCTACGTCAGAGAAATTGACAATTGTCTAAGTGACAACTGCACGTTGAGACAACTTGCAGATGACGGAGTAGTGTCTATGACAGGGCCCAGAGAGGCCGACCTGCAAGGACCCTTACAGGATACCTTAGACAATTTGTCTACTTGGGCTATTCAGCAAGGTATCGAATTCTCCACGGAGAAAACTGAGTTGGTCGTTTTTTCTAGGAAGCATAGCCCAGCACAACCAAAGCTTCAACTTTTGGGTAAAGCGATCACTCATTCTATGTCCTTCAAATATCTTGGGGTCTGGTTCGATTCAAAATGCACCTGGAGATCCCACATTGAGTATCTGAGACGAAAATGCCAACAAAGGATCAATTTTCTCCGAACAATTACCGGAACGTGGTGGGGAGCCCATCCGCAAGATCTTCTAACGTTGTACCGGACAACGATTTTATCGGTTTTAGAATACGGTAGTTTTTGTTTCCAGTCGGCGGCTAAAAGGCACATCATCAAACTGGAACGGATCCAGTATCGCTGTCTTCGTATCGCGTTAGGATGCATGCACTCGACTCATACGATGAGTCTCGAAGTGTTAGCGGGCATGTTGCCACTCTCTGATCGGTTTTCGGAATTATTCCTCCGGCTCCTCACCCGTTGTGAAATTATGAACCCACTGGTGATTGCAAACTTTGAAAAGCTTCTTGAGCTGAACCCTCAAACTCGTTTTATGTCATTGTACTGCGTGTACATAACACAGGATGTCAGCCCTTCGCAGCATACTCCCTATCGTGTTTGCTTCTCCGACTTCGTCAATTCTGTTCATTTTGATTTATCCATGACGCAAGAGATTCGCGGAATCCCAGAGCATCATCGTTCCATGATTGCTCCGTCAATTTTCGCTGCAAAGTTTGGCCAAGTTGATTCCGCAAGATCGTTCTTCACAGATGGATCACTAATAGAGGCGTCCGCAGGTTTTGGTATTTATAACGAATTTCATAGCGCCTCTCGAATGCTTCATGCTCCTTGTTCCGTATATGTTGCTGAACTGGCGGCAATACATTATACGCTAGAAACGATCGCCTCACTTGCACCAGATCATTATTTTATTTTTACGGATAGTCGCTGATTGCGGGCAATGAGAAGGCGGACTCGCTTGCAAAGGTGGGCGCTATGGAAGGCGATATTTACGATCGACAAATCGCCTACGACGAATTTTTCTTCATTTATCGTCAACAGTCACTCGCCAGCTGGCAAAACAAATGGAGTGAATGGAGTTTGGGACGATGGTTGTATTCAACTATCCCTAAGGTGTCGAAGAGTCCTTGGTTCAAAGGTTTGGAGGTGGGTCGAGACTTCATTCGCGTGATGTCTCGCCTCATGTCCAATCATTATTCACTAACCGCACACTTGTTCCGTGTTGGGCTGGGGGACAGTAATCTCTGTGAATGTGGACAAGGTTACCAGGACGCAGCCTGAGCCTGTACAAATAAAGTAATTAACAAAAAAAAAAATAACATCGATCAAACCTCATACCTACACAACCAGTCAAGCATAAAACCATTGGCGTAATTAAGGAAAAAATCTTGGGAGGGAGGGGAGGGGGTCTAAATTTATGTTTCGAATTTCTCAATTAGGCAATAGGCAAACAATTTTGATGTGTAAAGAAAATAAGTAATAAGCCAATGCATGAAACTATACCAATGAACCGTGATCTTTTTTTTTTTTTTCCTTGATTTGTTTTTCGTCGATCTTGTTTTCCGTGCTGAGCACCAATGCTACCGACGCCAGGGAGGCAGCGCTCCCACACCTGGACCCTACCTATCGACCCATCAACTCATGAACCGGGGACCAACGGCTTTACTTCCCTTCCGAAGGAAGTCGTGATCAGAGATGTTATGCCTCAGAACATCCCGGCGGCACCGACTGGGATTGAACCCAGGCCTGCTGGGGTGAGAGGCAATCACGCTTACCACTACACCACCGGCGCCGCTAATGAACCGTGATCTATTTTGCGGTTTAAGTTAGAACATAAGAAAAGCGATACTGCTTTCAAGAACGTAATTTCATTTGAATAGCTTGTTTAACTAGGGCTTAAACAATCGTCCCGTCGGTCACAGTTTGTTATGATAACTTGAACAATGCGTAAAGAGCAAATTGAAACATTGAACGTCGCGTGAAAGTGGAACTTAATGAAGGCCTAAATACATTTTCGTAGCTTTTAGTTTTCGGATTTGAAAGATCCTCGGTTGCAGTGGCTTGTTTACTGAGCAGAAAAACGCAGTCCCAGGTCCTTGTCAAATCGCTTGTTTATCGTGTATTTTGCGAAACTTCGTCGTCGTCGTCGTCGTCGTCGTCGTCGGTGTCGAGTTTGAATGGTTTTTAAAACAAAAATATCGAAATGTTGAGTACAAAAAAGATTTTTTTTGTTTCAACTCGAGTAACGGTATGATGTGATATGAGAGGTTCGGTGGCTTTATAGCGACCGTTTTTGCTTACTGAGCAAAACATCATGAGCCTTATCTCAGGTCCATTCACATTCAAGATTCGTCAATCGTTTTATTTGTTAATATGAGTACTTAGTACTCTTACCCAACATCCCAGTGATTCCTCGTGGAAGTACAGAGGATTTCTCGACTTCCATCAGAGCGAGTATCACGTCAACACATTGCTACCCATTCCTTCCTTGACCTGCGTTCGGCCGCGGTGTGAAATTCCAGAGAACTTCTTAACATTTTTTTGATATTTTTAGATAGTTTCATGATATTTAGCGAAGTTCCGAGTACTTCGAAGACGATCAGATGACTTTAGATCAATCCAATTAACTTAAGGAAATTTGCAGCGATTTATAAGAAGTTCCGTGGAATTATGGGATGTTCGAAGAATATGATTTGATTGATCCGAAAACTCCAGAAGTGTCAGGGAATTATGAATATCCAGCGTTCAGAATCATAAGGGCCTAGCTGCGATTATCGATTCTCTTCATCGATTTTGTCTTCGCATTACCACAGTTTAGTGAACCAATTTTCCGAAGAAGAAGGTGGACAAATTCGCTAAAAAGTTCTTGGTTTGATAGGTCATCTGTGGGTGCGGCAAGATGAGCCAGCCGTACATCACGACGGGTACCATCAACGGGCAAATCTATCGAAACGAGTGCTTCAAGAAGCGCCTATTACCCTTTCTGTGGTCTCACGGAGGTGAGACGCTGTTTTGGCCGGATTTGGCATCCTGCCACTACGCGCGGCCGGTGTTAGACTGGTACAAAGACAACAATGTTGTTTTTGTACCAAAAGACTTCAACCCACCGAATTGAGAAGTTTTAGACCATCATGAAGGCCAGACTTCGTAAAACACCTAAGGTGTTGGAGAAAGAGCTGGATTTGAAGAAACAGTGGGTAAGAGTATCAAAAGAAGTCGGCCCACCATTGCACAAAACCTTATGAGTGGTGTCAAGGACACCTTGGGTTTAGTCATAAACATTTTATTGAATCTATCGCTTTAAAGGTTCATATCCATGACATACTAATTGAATAAGTCTAAAACATCAAACATTATTTGGTGTGCCATCAGAACAACCACTTTTTAATCACTTTGTTTACAACTATAAGTCACTAGTTGGTCACTTATTTCTTGAACATGGTTACTAAAATAAATATTTTTGACAGCATTGATAGCTACCAGCCTTGCAATAGCAACCTAGAAGGAGCATTATAATAGTGATATCGATAGTGACTCACGTGGCGGTGCTCTAACATGACATTATCTAGAATTCTCTTTAGTGAAAAATTCCACAGCTTTCGAAGCTTGTATGGGTTTCTTGTTGTGGTATCGGATATCCCTTTTTAATCAACTGTACTGTATAATACAAAACCTAATAGACGTGTTTAATAACCGACATTCCTTAAACTTCTGTTTTGCAGCTATTGGCTGGCCAACGGTTCGTGGACGTGACGCTCGCCTGCGAGGGCCACCAGGTACACTGTCACCGGCTAGTACTGGCAGCATGCTCTACGTTCTTCGAAAACCTGCTCGGCGAGAACCCGTGCAAGCACCCGATCATCATACTTCCACGGGAGATCAAACTGTGGGCTATCCAGGCGCTGGTCGATTTCATGTACAAAGGAGAAGTGAACGTATCTCAGGCCGGACTGCCAGATCTGATGAAGTGCGCCGAAATACTAAAAATTCGTGGCCTGTGCGGGTCGGATGCAGCGCTTAATCTCAACCAAATTACCAGTCCCGGCGGTGGGAACAACACGGTTACATCCGCTCCGGGGCAGACGCAAGAGTCCTCAACGAACCAAAGTTGCCAAAGAGGAAGCAGTAAGTATATTTAGTCGATCTTTCTGTTATATAAAGTGCATATCTAAATGGTTATATTTGTCTGTTTTAGGTCCTCATCGTAGCGAGCAAGTCAAAGGGCAGCAGAACAGTGCCCTCAGTGGAACTAAGGCGGCAGGAAGTTTTCTCAACAGCTTAAATTTGCAATCAGTGGCCTCATCGACGCCAGCGAAGGCATCTAGTCAGCAGCAACTGCAACAGCATAATCTTCAGCAGAGCGGCGATGATGGCGACAGTGATAACGGTGGCAGCGGGAACGAGCTGTGCATCAAGACGGAAGATCTAATCATAGGTATTGGAGAGATAGTGTTACGATCCGTGTGTTAGAGTAGTTAATAATTCGCTTAATTTTAGATGAGGACGCAGGGAAACCGGATGACGACGAAGACGAGATAGAGATGGAAGGAAACGACAAAAGTCAAGCGGGTAAGTAATTTTATGTTTTTTTTAGGTTTACACAAACGAATGCTTACTGCCTGAATGACATGCTTACGGATATCGGTTATCAGAACTCACCTGCCTCCGACCATATTTTTTACATTCACATGCAAAACAAATATACATTCCATTGCAATTCATTCACTCTCAAAACAGTCAATAGGTGTCAATGACAACGCAAAGCATTGACCATATCTCGTTGTTAAAGAATTTTCCAACCGATTCGAAAGCCCGTTGTTAACACAGAAAAAATAGTCACGTCACGATGACGACGAGCGAGAAGTTCGAAGATAGGTGATTTCTCTTAATGCAAAGCCTCTCCCCCAATGCATCAATACCTAGTTCTAAACCTGGAGTCACCTTAACTAACCATTTCTCTGTCTTCGTTCACTTTGTCTGTCCAATACTCGTTGCAGCAGAGGACGACGATGTCGTCGAGGATGAAGAAATTGAAGGTTTTATCGAAGATGTAGTAGATCAGGAACTCCAACCACTTGATGAACGAACACGACTCAATAGTAATAGCAATAGTAATAATAATCAGTTCACTATCACCATCACCGACGACAACAGTACTAGTAACCCTTCTCCAGCAGAGTCCAAAACGTCCCAAACGAAAAAAGTGACCTCCTCCTCGCTTCCTCCGCCGTCGTCATCGTCGTCGCTGCTGTCGATTCTAACACGTGGCTCGATTCGGGTGAAATCGAACGAAAATCTCTTTGATCACTACAATCAACAACAACAACAACAACAGCAACAACCAGAAGAGCACAGAAACGTAAAGAAATCCGCGTCACGACAACACGGGTACTCGTCCGTCGGTGATGGTGGTGGTGATGGTGACGATGGTGGTGGTGGTGGTGATGGTGGTATTATTAGTAGTAAAAGTGTAGACTGTGGGACTGATTCCGGCACAACCGGTCTTCCCTCTTCCCTAGTGTACAATCGGAACACGATGGATATCTACGTTAAACCAAAGAGAGACGGTGGCAGCGCCAGCACTACTAGCAATCCGGATATCTCGTACGAGGAAGCTGGAAGCGAAATATCTGCCGACGGTTACGAGAACATAATCTGCTCGCCGAATTTCCCTCAGCTCGGTGGCAGCAGCACGATGGGCAGCTATCAGGACGACGACTACGACGATGATTTCGACATTCAAATTCTGCCGGACGACAACTCGATGACGAACGGCGAAAGCGAAGGCGGTGGCGACGATGAGCTGGTGTATCCTCCCCCGTTGCTACCGTTTGGAAATTTGGAAACGAGCATTACCCGTATCCCGGTCAGTGGCAAGATGCGAACGAACGGTGGGTCTAGATTGCTCACACCGATGAAGCGTCGACGCCACTCCAGCGGACGGGGAGGAAGACTGATGATGTCGGCGAGTGCCGGTTCTCGGGATGCCAAGATCACCATGACGAACGGGGTGGTTATTCCACCGTCGGCGTTCGTGCTCAGGAATCCCCGAGGGAATCAGCCCCGATCGTACAACACGGACGCACTCTGGTCGGCACTGATGGATGTCAAAGCGGGAGAGAGCATATACAGGTATGTGTGATATTTAGGACGGTTTCCGTCCACTGCAATACCATTCGTTGTTGCTGATCATGATTTTTTTTTGCGGATTTATTTTAGTTACTTTCATGCATATGATTTAAAAAAAAATCGTAAAAATCTGCAATACCTATGTAGTGATTTTGTTTTATTTTGCTTCAGGCAGTTCTATATAAATGAACTAAAAAAAGCTATGGTGATCGTTCTAGTAACGGATACCGAATTCCATAATAAGAATCTTTGGGAGGATTTTGTACGGATGCGAAGGAAAACTCTGATCTCATGTCAGTTACACGTGCCACAGAATTACACACTGGACGATACAACTGTAACTAATTGAGTCTCTGAACATGATCCCAACACGATTTCGGTTCGAAAAAATAAATAAAATAGAAGTAGGTATCTCGATTCTGTTGACACTGAAATGCCATTATTGCGCTTAGTGTTCATGGTTTTTAGTTACAGGAGGCTACGGGTCTTACAAAAATATTTTATTTAGCGTTGTAGAAAAATGTTCAAATCACATCTCGCAGATTTTTTCAACTTCAGAATTTTGATATTTTTTCTCGGTCAAAAAGTCTGAATTTCGAGAATTTTTCGAAGCTCCAGATCCAGAATCCAGATCCAGCCTCAAAAATCTTCAAAGTTTATAATTTCTGAAATTTTCTGCATTTTTTTTCAGTACCTGGATTTGAAAAAAATATATCCAGGATAGCCATTGAGCCGGGAATTGAAAACAACCGTGAATTGGATTGGAACTTTAATATATATTTTTATTGATAAATATTCAAAGTCCGATGTTTATCATAGAATTTTGATCATTTTTGTTAATCATGGATCTTAAGATTCTGTGTATGGAATCTACAACGTAACTAGATTTTTTTAAACTTATCTCAGGATATGTTTGCACATTTCTCAAGAGTTTCCTTTGAATTATTATGTTATTATGAGTTATTATTCAAAATGTGTTCAGCATTATTTTTAGTTTCAGGATTCCCCTCAATAATCTTATGATTCTGTCTGGTAATCCGTAGAACGTTTCTCCAAACAAAGTATATTTTTGTGAAGAACACTTTAGGAATTTCCTCCAGAAAACTCTTGCAATGAACTCTATATAATTATATTTATCTATATTTATCTTTGTATTCTTCAAAATTCTAGCGAGAAATTACTTAAATTTCTGTCCATTATATTCTTTAAGGATCGCTTGGTGTATTCCTAGAAATCCCGTGGGATACCATTTACAATTTAGAAAAATGTTATTCCCATTTTCTTTTTGATTTCATATCAGAATTCTTTAGAAAATTTCCTCAGATTTTTTTTTTTGAAATGCTTCTCAAACTGCTCTTGAGGAGGATCTCTTGGAATTCCTATGAAACTCTCATTAGAATTCCCTTAGACTAGACATTTGTCTTCATAATCTCCTGGAACACAACTCAGATCTTCTTTGAAAATATGCTCAAAATCTCCAGCCAAATCCCCCCAAACTTTTTGATTTTCTCTGCGTATTTCTATAAAAATCTATTTTAATTTGGACTATGTGGACTATGGGCAGACAGGCAAATACACAGTCGTAACAATAACAAATAACGTTTATTAGGTTCTAAATTTGGTCTTTACAGCTTGGGAGTTAGTTTGGGAATGCCAACTTTTGTTGATCTTCCACAAGCGCTTGTCAGCGATAGATCTTCAACATGGTTGTTTGATGCAGTGTGGAGATCACCAAGAGAACTTGAGATGCTTAATCGAGTTGCTCTGCATATGGAAAATATTGAACATGAATACCTCGCTTCTTATAGTAAGTGCGTTGTTCATTCGAGAAGAATTCCTGGCTTTGATCCACAGTGAGCTTAAAGATTTTTGGCTGCCATTGAGTTGTAATACACTCACAGTGGAACACCTCTGATTTGCGTTTGAATGTTTGGTAGATTACAGCAAAATGCGTCCAGTTGTCGATGAACGACTCAAAGTAACGGCTAGTGTCAGAAAACGGCCGTTAAATGGTTCCCGACACTGTTTGGCTTCTCCACATTAAGCTTCTCCCGAGGGGCACGCAATACAAAGAACCGGTGCGTTGAAGTTAAAATGCAATCAAAAGTACTTAAAGTAATTAATGCGTTTGGAAGTAGTACTGACTGTAATTAAAATTTACTATCCGTACTTATTGTAATTAAAAGTATTGAAAATGTAATTAATGTACTTTAATAACGAAAAGTCGACTGCAATTAATGGACTTAAGAAGTAGTTGATGTTCTACACTGTGTAATTAATGTTATTTAATTACAGCCGTTGCTTGCGTCGGAGTTAAAGGTTATTGCGTGCCCCTAGGCGTCTCCACAAAAGCACTTTGCTTGTCTCGGTCACGCTTATATTGGCCTGTCCCATAGTACCGACATTCAATTACAGCTGGTACAAATTTCCACGCAGATACACTACACCGAACAGTTCTCCATCCTTCTGGAATTCCGCATGATCTTAACCTCCACGACTTGTGGATTGTCCTGGCCACGTCCTGACAACTGGTAGGGATAGGAAAGGTATGTTAGTCCAACATTTACTTAAGAGCGATGCAGAGAACTCTACGACCCCTCATAAATGTCTCGGGAATTTAGGAATTATGTTTGTAGGGAAGGTAAGCCATAGGATGCACCCAGTCAGTGTTGCTGGCAAATGTAGATTTTTTTTAATAAATCTTGAAATAGTTGTCTGCTGGAAGATAAAGTTGCTGAAATAAAATGAAGATATAACATGGTAAACTCACCATCGTTGTCACACCCGTAGCTAATTAAAAAGGAGGAATTGTGTTTTATTTTATCATTTTTTTTTATTTATTGATGGGAAAACCCGCGGAAGTGGAAATAATTTTACTATGTCTTCTCCCGTAGGCCCAAAACTTCTATGTCTTTTCAATTTGAATCATAATCAATTACAAATTTCAACAATAAATCATTATTCAAATGGAAGCAATAAAGTTAACAGATTATGTCATCTATTAAATGGTACATAAAATGTTGATAATGGAAAGGTTTCACCCAAGGGGTAAGTCACTCAGCACATTGCGCCGAAATTAGATTCGACACCGCTTGGGCACATCCATCGGCACAGTCTCGTAAGCATTTGATTGTTGTAAATAAAATGGGAGCACTGCTGGCCACTGAAGTTGTTCGATTCGAGAAAACCACCAATCACACACGTATAACCGTCCGGGAGGCAGAGTGCCAGCGTAATCGGGCAAATGCAGCCGAAAACTATGAAAGCGAACGAACGCACAAAACAGAGAGCAAACTTAAAACACAACCGTATCCAAAGGGGTTCGAAACTGCACTCCTTCAAGATTGTGAAAAACTGGCGTAGCCTCAAATTATATTAAAAAAATATCACATGTAATCTTTAAAAAACTTAGTTCGAGAATTCAATGTTATATTGTGAATCTCCTAGTTTTATATATATGCTCAATCTATCAATACGGCCTAGTGCCTAGTAGTGGTTGTTAAGAATCAACTTTCACTGGGTTTTGACACATCCCTGAGTTGAACTGTGGTTGGTAAAAAGTAATTTAAATCTTTCAGTACGCTAGACGTTGTTGGTTGTGCTATATCTAATTAACTTTGACATAATTTAACCTTCAAGTAGATTGGTGAGTCTCTTGATCGGCACTGAATTTAGTTGTGTCCAACAAACATCAAACCTTTGTCGTGTTGGAGCGCCGTTAAGTAAATGCAAGAATGGTGAAAGGTTGAAAAAGATGCTTTTTTTGAATACTTGTAGTGCTAGTTTCTCATTGTGTGATTAACAGCTTGATAAGAACGCAATATGAATTTAAGATAATGGTCTTGTTGATGAATTTTGGATTGTTTGGAGTTGCACGGTTACGATTGAATAATTCAAAGATACGTAGACAAGCAAGGCAGTCAAGGCGCCTAGGGTGGCCTTATTGAGTATTCCAGATCTTTGATTGCCTAAAAGCCTGGTTACGACCTGAAAATCAGCTTCTTAGTAAGTTTTTGTATTGTGATGATTTTTGAATTTAATTAAGTTTTTATGATGGACGAGTTTGAACTTCTTAGAGTAACTAATTGAAAGTTGTGTATGTGTGTGTATTCAATCTATCCCCCACTGGTCGGCAGTGGTATTATGGAAGAAATTTGCTTACAATTGTAACAATTGCTAACAATCCTTGATGTAGGTAATAAATTTAAAGCAAGTTTAGTCCGGGAGTTAGAAAGCGATCAGCTCTACTGCAGATTCAGCAACCCATTTCAGAATGTTTGGTAATTCACGTCGCATGTAAACACTACCGTTATCATATGAATAATGGTACTGCAAACACACTTCCAGATTTCGAAATATGGCGCGTATTTAGTAATATATGGAAATATGCATTTATGATTGATTTATAATCAGATGGATCTCACCAAAGTCTTCCTCCGAAAAAGCACCGGTTTGTTCACTCGTGGTAATCGAAAAAAATCTTCCACGTTGTTTTTACAACCGAACAATTGGGTTCTTTAAGGGTATTGAGGTAAATGCATATTCGTAATCTGCATTAGAAATGGAACCCAAAGCCAAAATTTCATCAATTTTGGTACACTGGAACTATTTTAAATAAGAACGATTACATTTGCAAAAATCACCTTATTAGCGCCCCTCTGTGTCACTTTGTATGGGAGCGATCTGTCAGTTTGTCAGTTTAGTGTCAAACAGTGAAGTTATTATTTTGCTTTAAATCTTGATTTAAAAATCGAGATGAAAGTGTGTGGGTTCGAAAAAAATATAGCTGTACTCAAAAAACGAAGCTCTTCCTGGTAATATTTAAAAACCGATATATTTTTCAAAATTAAAGAACCCAATTTGAATCACATGCGAAGTTTTTCATTTGCCCCGAATTTTTGCCTAACATTTCATTCGTGTGCATCCTCCGGAAGCCAGAACGCCAGTACCAAGAATTCTTGTCCCAGAGCTTTCACGTTAATTACAATATCACTAAAACGTTT